TAGTGGTTTCATAGTCATATCCTTAACAGTGCCTTCTACATGTGACAGTTACTTTTGTTTCTACTTTCTGTTCTGGTCTTTTATCCCTTCTTGTTTCATGTATGCTATTTTGAAAAGACCTCAGTCTTTTGTTAAATTGTTTTTCTTCTGTTTCTTGAATGTGAGATGTTTCGCTGTTAATACAGCTATTTTGTGATCAGTGTCGCATAAATTGTTAGGGATGATTGCTTTTTCATCATACATTCTTCATCTTCCTTTTACTCTAGTCAGTCAAAAAAAAAAAAAAATGTCAAGCTGGCTCTTGCTGGAGGTGTCATTACATGTGTACCAAGTATAAAGCTGAGGTTTCCCCGTGTGGGTTCCGAGGCCCCATCGTGGGGAAACAAGAATAGACCCTCTGCCTACCCAAAAGCGTGTCGTAAGAGTCGACTAATTGGGGAGCTTCCTTTGAAGTCAGAGTGCATCTGCCGGAAGGCAAGGAACCAACAGTCTGCATTCAAGTGAATCAGATCTGTAAAACTGATGCACATGCAACACTCAGGTTCTGGAGCAGGACTGCAGTTCAGAAGTAGACGAACAGCCAGAACTTTCCATCAGAGTGTACAGCTGGTGAACGCGAAGAAGAAGAAGAAAGCTGAGGATCTATCTAGCCGAACAATGTATTTATCACAAAATGATTGTGCTGACCTCATTGGTCCATTTGTTGTTTACCATTTCCATTTCTATCACTGTTCCTAGATGCATGTGAACACAGAAACTTCATGGTTTTTTCTGTCATTACAGACCCTCCCCTTGAAATCTCCCACTACATGTCATGTGTTCATTACCTCTACTTTCTCCATCTCCTCAGACAGATCATAAAAGAAATATACATATACAGGTTAGTTAATTGCGTATCCTTTACAGGAGGTTGCATAACCAGCCCTATAAATTTTTCCTGGTTTTTTTTGGTTTTTCTAGGCAAATTTCATGTTGAGTAATTTGACATTGCTCACTGAATGGTCAGCTCTCAGTACAACTGTCGAAACTAATGCGAGACATATCGTCCCCTGCTGGGACCGAGCCTGGAATCCCGGCATTACTCTGTGCGTTCGCAGCGCCGAAGCCACAGACACCGACTTTACATACATAAAGGAAAGAATTAAAAAACAATTATCGGTAATGAGAGAACCGATTGGAAGAGGGTGGTTTTGCAGTTCCACAGTGCTTATATACGGGCCACCAGATAACCCTGTACGCTGTATAACCTCAGAATGCCCTACAGGAAAGTTTGGAGTCGGGTGTAAGCAATCTTGCAGTGACAGATGCGCCCATTCAAACAATCCCAGCACGTCCTCGTGTTATCACGTTGATGGAATATGCCGCTTTGGGTGTGAGCATGGAGCCACTGGGGCTTTTTGTTCTGATGGTATGTAGTTGTTTACTCTTAGTTAACTCTTGTAGTCTCTGAAAGTTGTGGCTTCAGCACATTTATAACTGAATGTATCATACTTTTAAGCAACATTATGTGAGACTGGCAACGCTGAAATAATACAACTATGCGGCAGAACGAGTTACAGTAATAATTTTGTCCATTGTTAAAAACAAAACAAAAAATTCGGTTAAGTAAAGATCCATTTTCACACATTTAGGCATATCGGGCATATGGGAAGAGCTCCCACATGTTTTCACACCGTCGGCACTAGGTGGGTAATGTGGTCAGCATTACGCTGGCCGTCTCTACTTCCGCAGGACAGCCATCCTGGTATCCATTTCAGGCTGGGTCCACCTGCGACGCCCGATACCATGATAAAAACCCACGCAGCCATCAGTGTGTTTTCGATCGCGGTACGTTGGAATTACGAGTCAGACTCGCAACGCCTAAGCCAGGGGCGCCACTTTGTCAGTCATGGGGAAGAAAAAAAAAAGAGCCACTGCCCTTAGCAAGCAAGTGGTGAAAGTCGACTAATGGTAGGATTTTTCTTAGAAGTCGAACTGCATAGACCTGAGAGGCAAGGCAGTGTACACCCAATGAAATCAGATGTGCACAAAACTCAGGTTATCGAACAAGACGAAAGTCCAGAAGTGAACGTACCTGATGCGCCACTGTTTCGTTGTTAATACAACTATTTTATGATTATGTCAAATTGTCCTTTTTCTGACACAATGATGGCCACGTTTGGAAACAATTTTAAAAAAAAAAAGAAAAAAAAATTGGGCGGAAAAATTGATAATATTCAGTGTAATGAAAATTACCGCTCCTGCAAAGCTCCTAATGATAACATCACAATGACATTCAACCTGTAAAGCTATGAGACTTGATTTGATTTGATTTGTTTCAAGAACCGACGTCACAGCGCTCAGGGCATTCCCATAAGCGCTCTGTCCCCATCTTAAGCAGCCAGCGAAGAGTTCCGATACTAATGGTGCCAGTAGCATTCTGATTCCGTCTTGCTTTTCCTCTGAGCCTAGAGCATCAGCCAGAACCTCTCGTCAATCTCCCCGCCCTCTTCCCACTCCT